TCAATTATGACATTTTCGATCGAATATCGATCGCATTCCAGGGGAAGGTTTTCAATTTAAAAAAATTTTTTCGCAGAATTTCCCTCGTCTTCGCGCGCAAATCTGCGACAAAAATCCAATAACGAAAAAAAAAAAAGAAGAAAAAGAAAGGCACAAAATTGACTCGACGTATCAATTGTGACTTTTTCGCTTTTATTTCGCTTCGAAAAACAAATCACGGTTTGACTCCATATTAGGTGACAAAACGAATCAACCCAACGTTCAATATCAATCGTATTTTCAACAATTTTTCAGAATTTCTCTCGTCTATTCGACTCTGCGGAGGGCTACGACAAATTCCAATAACCAAGAGAGAAAAAGAAGAAAAAAAAAAAAAAACAATCGACTCGCAATTATAACTTTTTCCATCTATCATTTCGCTCTAAAAAAGAGATCGCTACTCGACTCCACACGAGACGACAGTGTCCAATCCGATTAACCTCTTGCGCCGGAATGACGCGTCAGAAATCTTTTGTTCCGAAATTGTAACATTTCCTCAGTTTCAAGTATATTCCAGTAGAAACAGACTAGGCAAAACAAATAATAAATTTACTGCTTCTCAATAATTTCTGAATCCAACGAGTTATTGCATACGGTTTTTGGTCACTCGTTATGGTCCGCAGTCAGTTGCCAGCGCAATTGATTGAAAATACGCACGTATAATGTAATAATTAATCGTGTAACTTTTCGGAATCTTCTCTTCCCTAGTCCATAGGGGAAATAACATCCCACAGAAAAGAACAGCGAACGAATCGAAAACGAAAGAAAGACAACAGAAACAGAGAAAAGAGAAAAAGACGTAGTGTATGTATTTATATATATATATATATATAAATATAAAATCACCGTATCAGTGATTGGTAGATAATAATGGCGATTATTCGCGCGTACCGTACGATATCGTGTATCATCTCATGTCGGCATGCAACAAGAAAATAAATTCTCCTGTGCACCGTGGAGGAGAAGGCAAGCAGTTTCACAAAAAAGGCGATATCAACCCACTACCAATCGCAAGCACAAGAAAAAAAAGAGGGGCAGGGAGGTGGGAGAGAGAAAGTGAGAGAAGACAGACAGAAAGACAGAGAGAGAGAGATAGATAGATAGATAGAAAGAGAGAAAGAGAGACACACACCGAGACCACGGCTGGGACATTACGGAGTACGAGTAAAGAAAGCGAAGTCTTGGCGAACATTGTCAGAGAAAAATACGGAACGGAAATAAATGAACGAACGAACGAAGAGAACAAGTAAAAAAGTCCAGAAAATACGGCCGATACACATATATATATATAACAGACACGTGCGGATCACATGAAAAGCAAAGCAAAGTATAACAGTAATATGTGTAACCGACGAGCGTCACTTCGACGAGTTTAACGATCTCTTAATTATCGATGTTTCACCATAGCTGGATGAACCAATGGGGCAATTAACGGTATGAATTAGAAGTGAAGCGAGATAGAAACCTGATCGACCTGATTGGTGGATACTTAAGAGACGATTGCTCGCGAAGTCACGCGACTTGGGAGAAACACAGTTGGCGTAAAAGTGCAGCCTCCAGTTATCCTTCTTTTCCCAACGTTCTTGCCTGAATGTGTTTCTTCAACTTCTGGGCGAAGAAGAATGCGTATTTAAGTGTCGTTTAATTTAATATTAATATTGTATATTAATTTTATCTATATTTCAATTTATAATGTATTACACGACACTTGGTATCACGTTTTCATCACGTCGCACGCACCGATAAACTCTAATTTTCATTATTTAATTTCTACCCCATCTATTTTTAATTCTCTCTCTTCGTTATATATTTTCAACGCTGACGTTTCTATATTTTAATTCATAATTCTTAATGTCCTTCAACTAAGATACAATTCAAAGAGCGTCGCGAGATAAATGGGAGATGATTCCAAGGCAAAAATATATGTTGAAATACGTAGAGCAGAATTTTCCCCGTTTGAAGCATCGTTTGCTGTAAATTCGAGTTTGAAAAAAATTCGCGAGAAAAACACGCGTGCACTCGAACTGACTCTTGACCGACAATATGCAGTATGCTTGCCAGTGGAGTGCTGACGACTTCTATTTCAAACTCCAATTTTTTTTTTCTTTCTCTTCCTCTTTTTCCCCTGCTGCAGTAAATGAGGCTTCAAACGGAAAAAATTGTAGTTCGCAGTTTCGACTCATCTTTTTTTTTTTTTTTTTTCACTGTGGAATAACATTTTGCTCATTTGTACGTACCGCGCGAGATCAAATTAAAATGTGAACAGTATAAAATAAAAAAAAATCTAATCGCTCCAATGGTAATTAAAAATAAATCAATGCGAGTATGTACGTTTGTCAAAATCTCGTAACCAAAACAAACGATTCAACTGTTGAGCAATATTATTGTAACATTTTAGTACAGATTCGAGCTAAGTTTTAACATTATACGCTGAATGTTACTGTTACTTTTCATTATATAAAACGCAGAATAATAAATTAAAATGAAGTACTCTTTAACTTTAAATATCGTCAATAATCTGTTGTAGACTAACTCATGTTTCATTTAACGATACCAGTTATATTACTATTAAATACTGATTAAATATATCGAATATCCCTTTTCCTATTCTGATATTGGTGAGTAGTTAAATTAGATATTAGTAAGTAGTTAAATTTTATTTTTGTATTAAAAATTTTTCTTTCCCCTTTTTCCATAGCCAAGAATCATTATTTGAATATTAGTGTTAAATATTTTGATACCATAATAGTTGAACATCAGATACTTTTTCCCTCTTTTAATTCTTCAATTCTACATCATTTCCCTTTCCTTATCTTTTATTCTAATGCTGTAACAGTGATGTATTAAACTCTCCTTTTCCCCCTCCTCTTCAATTTTTAAATTACACATTTTAAATAATTCCTTTATTATTACCTTTCATTCTGATACTGTAATGTAATTAAATATTATTACTACTAATAAACTTTGATGTATCAAAATTTGTCTCCCTTTTCAATAAATTTTGTAAACAGCCCATGCAGTACTTTGCACCCTTATTCGTTTCTCTTCGTCCAGAAGTGTATAGAGTATGATATATACGCATATGTGGTACATGTTCGAACGTTGTTTTTGTCGGCTGTTCACTCGAGGCTGCACGAAGGAACGTCGTCGAGCAGAAAAGCCAAGGTGTGTCGGGGGGTTGCGAATGCATGTAAGTACGTGGATACCGGGGGTATGGACTTGTAAAGGGCTTCTCCAGGATGGGGACCAGGTGGCCTATACAATGGCGGAGCATTCCGGTACACGTGGGCAAATATTCTACGCGACGTCACGGCATTTGGTGAAAATTGGATATCGAATGCTTCGACGGTAAACCGAGCGAACCATCGAAACGATAGCTGACGCGTGTTTTCGCTGTACGAAAAGAAAAAAAAAAAAAAAAAATTGAGGATCTCTAATAGTGTCTGCTGTTACTTGATTTTCATCGAGAATTAATGTGTTTTACTTGATTTTGTCATTATATTACGTATCATTCGATATATTGATGTAACAAATACATCATTCTTTTTTTTTTTTTTGACTTCGACTGTACTTATACATCATTCATTACATACCCAACAGATCATTCTTCTTTTAATCCATTCGTATTGAAAGTTTCACAATTATGTCATAATATAGTATATTATTGAGAAGAATCTCGTAAAACAAAGAAAGAAAACGAAAAGAAGTTAATTATGAAATCCGCTCCTATCCAAAGAGAGAGAAAAATAAATAAATAAATTAATTAACCCCTTGCCTCGTGAGTCTCTTTTTCAATCTTCTTAGTCAACACTACAAGAGGAGCAGAGAAACGAATCAATCTAATTGCAAGTCTTCTCGTTAAAGACAACCTGTACCATGCAAATGTACTTTTATCATTGAAACTGTCAGTCGATGGAATAATTTAGTTATTACGTAACATTATATCATATTACAATGATAGCTAAATTAATTATAATTATATTATAATGATGAACTAAACTAATCTATCGATTGAAGGTTTTGTCAAGAGAAGGACATTTGCACGGTGCAAGTCACACAAGTGACTTACATATAATTCGTATCAATTAATTTCCAAGTTGACGAACTAAAATTAAAATCATTCGTTTCCTCTTTCAAATTGTACCACCAGCGTGACTCGACGTTCCAAGACAAGGCGTTGAGAAAGAAAAGAGCTCCAAGCCTCGCAGCCCCATCTCCTCCCTATCCACCACCTTCACCCCTTTCAAAAACACGCGTCAGCTCCCGGTCATTGTCCACCAATTGCCGCGATTCTTTGGAATCATGTCATCTTTTCAAAAAAATCCGGAAAATCAGGACAGAAAACAGCGAAAGAGAAACAGTTCTTTTTTTTTTTTTAGCTAGGAACTTCTTTTCAGATTGCGGAATGATAGTTAAATGTACGAGGAACAACCGGGGGGGTGTAATAGGTGAACAGTGGTTAACACTATAGAAATATATATATATATATAGACAGATAGATAGATAACAGGTCCGCTCGCGCTGCTCCGTACAACGTGTACGTGTATTAAAACGTACATGTATGTATATGTACATTTATATACACAACGCTGAGCCCACACTTTTGTGTTCATGAACTGTTCGCTGGCAATGTGAACAACACTTGTACGATTAAACAGGGATCTACTTGTTCACAAGTGTAGACGAGGGTGATTTTAGGCAAACTAACCGCCAAGTTTACGCGTTCACTTTCCCTTGCATTCCACGTGTACTTGGAGTTTCGAATGGAAGAAGTGTCGCGTCCAAATTGTCACGAATTGATCCGTGTGAAATTTAACAGTCCCAAAATTTAACTATGACAACCTATTGTCGACTGAGCTTTATTTTTAACACGCGTGCGATTTAAATTTTACTCAAGGTTCGCGTCATTGACTATGATAGCCTACCCGACCGTCTTTTCGCGGTTTCTCTTCATTTATCTATCTCTTCATGGAAACTGTTACAATATCAATATTAAAAAGAAAAAAGAAAAAAAAAAAAACAGAAATTCGCGTTGCTCGTGAGCCAAACAACAGTGTTTCATTCGCGGCAAAGCGGTAATAAACAGGTGCGTCTCAACTTCCGTTAAAATTGAATTGCTTCATACAAGTCAATACTCTTGGCGACTTGCCACAAACCGCTCGTTTGTCGAACAATTCGCAGACAACCCCCAGCATGAACAACTGCACCTAACACGATCAGTTCACCAACAGTTCTGTCCAAACGTGGATTCAGCGTTACAGTGTATACATACAATACATACATATCCAAAATACGGTGTGTGTACCGGTTTTCTGATTCGAAGGGTCTGGGTGGTGGTATCTCTTGAGAAGGGTGTTTTTTCATTTTATTATTATTATTTTTTTTTCTTGTTGTTGCTGTTGTTGGTAACAGGATCTTGAGGGGGTGGTGGGGGTGGATCACGAAAAACAAAAGACTTACGGCGTCTGCCACGAGGTGTGCGGGCGGGAGGGCTGCCTGCAAGTGTCCACTCTTCAGCAGGGGGTCGGCGAGGCCTGCCACGCTGGCGTGTAAGGGGCTCGGGTGGAGAGGATGATGTGGGGTTGTAAGGTGGGCCGTGGATAGGAGCGGATGCCCGTGAGAAGCGGCAAAGGCCGAGGATGAAGGGTGGGCCGCGAAGGGCGAAGTCGTCAAAGTTTGGGTGTTCAGCGAGGGCGGGGTGGGCCCGGCAGCGGGCGCGGGCAATGGCAATACTGTACTTACGTCCGAGTGGGCGGGCACCGCGTAATTACCCTGGATGGTGTAGGCTTGCCCACCAGCCAGGATCACTGGCCCACCAACTTGGGGTTTGGGGCGATAAGGGATCGTGGCACCTTTGGGAGGGGACTGAAACAGAAAGAAACACACCGCCGAGTGCGAATACACAATTGATTAGCTCCAGTACTACTTTGTCTAATTTGTGGTGCAGAGATCAGAAGATTGGCTTGGTTGTTCCAACGAGACGAGGCAGTGTAAATTTAAACAAGTGCATACGATCGTCTGGAACAGGGTTCCAACATAGTGGTACCAGTTCATCCTGAGAGGATCAACCAGTAGCACTCGACACTGACAGCCAATAGCTGCAGATGTTGCAATCGAACTGGTGAAAGATTTTGTTCGTGTCTACTGCTTCTCGTCTCATTGCACAGGCTATAGTTAACTTCGACTTAATAGATTCGTTCAACGAGTCGAGGACGAGTCAGATTTAAATCAGGAGAGAATTTGTCAGTAGGCATTCCTACTATTCGTGTTACAATATCTATGACTGTGTTCCAGTTCCGTTTAAATGCCACCACGCGCGTGCGTTTATGGTCGATGCCTTGACTCGTTGAATGAGCTATAGATCAGGATCGAGGGAGATACAGTAGAATCTTATTTGTTAGAAAGCTACTCTCATTTATTGTAACTAATTCGGATAAAATGAGGTTCTACTGTGTACACCAATTTCTCTCTTGAAAATCCTGATAAACTGTCAATAGAATTTGACAGGTATTCAGTATCTTACAAACTGTTTGATGTCCTACTTTCATTTAAACAGTATCACTGACATCATATATTATAATTTACACCACTTGTTCATGTTATCACAAAAATTCGTTTTCGCAGCTTGCAGTGACACTTGCGAATATCGATGTCAGAAATTCAGGATTAGACTCTTCAGTATTTGGGATTAAAACTTTCAAAGATTTCGAAGAACAATTTACAATAAATGCGATGGACATGTACTAAAATACATATGTACACGTGGAAGTTGTATTAAGGAATTAAGAATTTATATTAATAAATCTTTGATATTACAGAGTAGATTTAATCTGTTGATTTAATGAATTAGAGCTGAACCAACAGTGATCTTTTCAACTCCTAATAGTAGTTCGTGATGCCTTGATGTCTAGAATCTATCCTATAAATATCTTCTACAAATTTTGTGACACTGTATACGATTGGTACTTGAGTTTTATCTTTACAACTGGCAAGCTATCTTCTTATCTCTGCACGATACGAAGGTTGAGATTCTAGTAAAATTTCATGGGAAATTAAGTGTGCAAATGCTTTTGACAGCCACTGAAAACTCTCAACCCTCTACGTTCCTGTGTCCAATGAATTGAACGATTTTACTCTAGTATAATTTAAATTTTAATATAATATATACTTTGGTATAATATAACAATATATAATTTAGTATGATACAAACTTTATATTTAACTTTCATCCTGGTACGGAAAATTATAAACATTATCAAAATAAACAAGAACCTGCCAAAATGAATTTAGAAATAATCAAAGAGTATCTGTAGAAAGTATTGCAAGTGCCAAGGGCCAAATTTCTCTCAGGAGAGAGAAAAATCATTATTAATAGCTACTCGTAAAAGGAAAATTCTCCTTAAATTGCACATTATAACATTCTCATTGATACCACACGACATTTTTGGATAATTCTACTTGGTTATTTAATATTTTATTAATAATTTTAATATTTTATTTCATCAACTTTCGAGTTCATTCACATTGTAGTGACTAGAAGAATGACTTTTCAAATTTAACAATTTAAATCAAGATTTTGACACTTGACGACGTTTACTTCAAATGAATTACTCTCTCGAATGACAGGGATCGCAAAAGGCGAGAGCTCGCAGGGCCAAAGGGTGAGGGTCGCGATTCTTCTGGCTCCAGAGTCACAATCCCTGGAACACGTACCTCTAGCATAACACAACAGATGTGATATATGCACTGCGTGATAGCCTCGCTGGTACCGGATATGGTGACAGCGCGTTCCGTCGAATTAGGCAGCATGTCGGAGGCGACCTGGATCGAGGCGCCGGTCACCTCGCGGATCTCCTTGATCTTCGAGCCACCCTTGCCGATCAGTGAGCCGCACTGCGACGCAGGCACGATCAGCCTGAGAGTGATGGGCGGCCTGGGCACGCCGCCGCTTCCCTGGATGTCGTGGAATTGGGAACACCATTCCTCGAACTTTTTGCAGATCAGCGTGAAAGCTTTGAAGATCGAGTTCGTCGGACCGGTCACTGTCACTATCCGCTCCGGGCACGAACCGTCGGAGATGTTGATCTTCGCCCCGGACTGTAAAAAGAAAAGAGCCAATTAGTTCCTCTTCGTCTTCGATCAAAAAATTATTCATTTTGTTCATCTACCAATTGAGAAATTAATGAGAGAATTACATCGAATTAAAAATTCTCCGAATTAAACAATGCGTGCAAATGAGTCAGTGATTAAAGGTTAAATTTGAGACAAGAAACAGGGACAAGTTCAGAGGTAAATCTAAGATAATTGTAATGTACTGTATGATAAATTTTATTCGTACATATCATTTATTTATTATTATATTATTATATATGTGATGTATTGTTGTAACGTCATTATCTAAGAGGGATGGCCAACAGCAGCGACGAATGCATTTTTCAATGACCAACAGAGAACGACTCTTCGTCGTTTGCTGGCTGCTCAAGCGATTAAATAGCGGACAATGGGCGTTGAATTAAACTATTGAATACCGTGTCATTGTTCGAAACCGTATTACGCCACCTGCGAAGACGTTGAATGAAACACACGGACCTTTTCTAAAACGTGAAGTAGGAGAGCTTCGATTAAATTCTATTGTCCCGAATTGAAACTCGAATTGGAATTGTTACACGTTTGTCTACCGAACGCAAGCGACAATGTATACTCGGGATAATAGTTTTCCAAGTGTAATTTTAAACAATTTTCATTGTCAGTAATTTTCTTCTCATAATATGAGAGACATTACTTGAAAAGTTCAAGAACCTATGCGTTAATATATATATATATATATTTTTTTTTTTCTTTTAATATCTTTGCTAAGAGACTTTTTGATTTTTATTGTCAATAATTTTCTTCTTTTACGAAACGAGAGACGATATTTAAAAAGTTTGAGAAGCTGGCTTTATTTTATGTACAAAAGATATTGTATCTTCGTATGAAAATCAATAAGGATTTTTTGGAACATAACTTTCAGTAATGTCTTGTTTCTCGAAGGGTGCAAAATTGAGAAAATATTGTTCAATTCAACATGAATCGATAATATTTAATTGAATCAATAATTTTGTTATTGATAAAGTTGTTTTTCTTTTTAATTTATCGTGCAACACAGGCTCTTCAAGTGAATACAACAACCTAGGAATGTAGGTCGTTGGAAGCTATTTTAAATCTCTTTGTTGCACCACCCTAACGTCGTACCGTCTGATCAATTCGTCGCGTTGGTTACTGAATTAGGCGTGCATCGATTGTGCGCTGCTCGTAAACCGGAAAAAGATAGAATCATTACCTCGAAATGTGAACAAATGTACAAGTAGTTTTAACAATCTCTCTGCCTTTTGTTTCTAACAATTTAACATAAATAATTGCAACATTCTCTTTCTCTCTTCTAAGGCAACGAGTAATTTTCATAATTTTCAGAGTAAAAATGTTTACATAAAATAGAATATTCTCATTCAGAATAATTTCGACGGACCTTCTTCTCGCCTGTCCGCGTAACGTTCATTCAATATTTTTAATAACATAATTTTAGAGATCCGTCCGTTTGTGACGACGATAATGACCGTTTTATTGAATTTTTCGATACTTTATGGCAAACGAGCGTGTCAACAAGCGAGAACGACCCAGCCATAACACGTTCCATCGCCAGGTGTGTGACGCTCAATTAAACCTCATATATCTGTACTTAATACACAGTTGTATCGCAGAATCAGGTTTCTACGATATGCGATATTAGACGCAATATCGAAACAGTTATCTCAGCGTCTTTGCATTATGTATTACACGTATATAAATACGTACAATAATTCGCGATATTTAGATATTTAAAGCGAAAGATTATGACAGTAGTATCACAATTGCGATTTCCGAGAAAAAAAGAGCAACGTTGGAAACACTGCAGAAAAATTAGATTATTTTAATTATATTTATATAATATATATTTTTTATATAAGTATCAAATAAAATATTATATAAAATATTAAATACAAAATAAATATTAAAATAAATATTAAATATTATATAAAATAATATTATATCATATATTTACAATATATAAAATAATATATAATATTATAAATAAAATATTATATGAAATATTAAATATACAAAATAATATTATATAATATATAAAATAAAATATAATATTATATATAAAATTATTTAAAACATATAAAATAATATATAATATTATATAAAATATTAAATAGTTTTTATATAAATATCATACAAATAGTATGCAAATAATATATAGTATACAAGTAATATACTCGAGGATCTTATATCATACACTCGAGTTTATCACCAATTTCATTTTACAAAATTACATAGTTTCGATATTCAATGTCCGTGTATATATCCAGGCAGAATACTAATGCGAGTAAGTAGAAACGTTTCAACAATGTACATTCCCGCGTTAAGAAAACAGGATATGTATAATATTGTTATAGTCATGTACCGGTGAAACGAGCGTCTAAATACAAATCATAAACGCGGCAACGGGAAACCGCGACTCTGGCAGTAGTTTCTTGCTGCGACGTGCAACAAATCGGCACGTCGAATGCGCGACGCGAACTAATTGCGAACGAACCTAACCGGCGGTGCAGTTTTTGGACGCATGTGTCAAAAGCCGGACGTAGAAAGGATGACCTTTGTCCCCGGGTGATTAAAAACTCGGCGCCCTTCGGTGAATTTGAACATTGAGGCGACGAACAGCTCCCAACAGATAATAACGTTTGTTACGCGTTTACGTGATTATCGGGCGAGTTTGGGATGATTCGTGGTGATTTGTGGCCAAAAGTAGATTATTTAAGCTTGATGATTCACAAGTTACGCGTGAGATAAGAAGGATTGTTAATTCTTGGTCTAAAAAGTTAGAGTTAGCCATTCAGGTTTGTTACCGTATTTTTGAAAATACAGCGAGCCACGAAAAAAAACTTTTAAAACATACGGTATACTTTTGTTTATAGTGTAACAGAATGTGCGATTATAATAATTTAGTATAACACGTGATTGTAATAATGTAGCACATTCTACAGTGTGGTATAAAATTTTTGCCTACACTGTGACTTGTAGTATAATATATTTTGAAATTTTAGAAATTTGTTACACGTAGTGAAGGTGGACTGTCAGAAATGTAAATTTCATGCCAATTTGAAAATTTATTGCAAAACATATATTCAGTGTACTGTAATATCCTCGATCAAAGATGACTCCTACTGAATATCGAGATTAGTATAACGAACGATTAACTGTTACTTTGTATCAAATACTTTATACATTATGTGATTTATTTCAGACAGACTGTGCTGGTCAATAGTGCTAGTTTCGAATACTCGTGAGCCATTGACATGTTACTTTATTTTATTCGAACATAAATTTAATAAAAGAGATTTTCACTCGAACGCTAGCAACACCAACGATGATTAGATTCGTACAATATTCTCTGTACGCAGATGAATAAATTTCTAACGAAATAAATACTAATTCTACGTAGAATGTATCATCAAATTTCTGCAATGAAATTTATTTCCACATTTCTTCCTCATTTCACAGTCAATTTGCAACACTATAATAACATAAAACGTAAGGAAAAAAAAAAAAAAAAAAAACAAGCATCACTATAGAATCCAATCGCGTAACATTAATAATATATGCACACCATCAAATGACATTTATTACTCGACAATCAGCGTGTTGGCCTATTAATCAACGCGCAAGGAGAAATCTAATAGATTTTGAATATCATCCAAAACTTGTTCGGATCGTAAATATTAACGTAAGTCATAAATCGTGTTCGCCGCTCAGTTTATATATAAAGTTCGTATTTATCCTAAGAAACAAAAAAAAAAATTTGCGTAATCTTTATAATTTATTTCTCGTAGTTTACTGGTTTTGAACGAACCAACCAAAAGCTGACTGTATGCTCGCAATGTATATGTAAATGTAAAATTATAAAAATACCTAATGCAAATGTATAAATGACGAACATCGACAGTATGAATTATGGACCTGTTCAAAATAAGGAAAATTGTACACCTATGCTTTTTAATTTTAACGTAAGAAGAAGTCGAAGTAATGAAAATCATGATTTTGGAATTAGAATGATAGTAATTACTGTTATTAGATATTATTATTATTAATGATTATTGTTGTTATCTATTAGCATTAATATTAATATTAACAACAGAGTTGCGTATCAAAGTATAAATCGTTATATGAATAATAATATATATTGAAATGATACTAACTAAAATAAGTAGATTTGCCTAAACTTGTTTAAAGATACAAGCTTGTCTTGAGATATCATAGTATTCTGACAAATGTTAATTCGTAATTCTTTTAAGCAATAGAAAAAAAAATTCGTCACATCGAATGATTTGGTATTACAATTACATTTACAATAATTAATTACAAATAATTTTCATCTAATTATTATTGCACGTTCTCTTTATCATAAGCCATGTACCAAATCTTTTCACAATTACGTGCAATTAATTAACGATGCCACATCTTTCTGAATTCATTTTTCAAATCGATCATTCTCAACGCCGACAAATTTTAATTGAAAAGTTGCGTCGAGTATCCCGATTATAATTGGAATTTATGGTATGTGGAGTAATAATTATTAACTGGCGGTTAACCCAAGGAAATGGCAAGAATTATTGAAGAATTAAATAAATTATTCGAGGAACGACAAAAAAAAAATTCGAAAATGTAAACAGATAGGAGAGAAATAGATTAATTACCTCTTCTCGGAACCTCTTGACGATTTCTCCTTTCTTCCCAATGATACTTCCGACCTCCTGCAACAGACAGAACAGAGAGCACGTTAGAATCGATCGCAATGCGAGTCGTTTACGTTTCATCGCGGTAAAACGTAAAGTTCAAAGCGCGTTTCTATGTATCCACGAATCAATGTCCTCGAGAACGGAGCATCTCGATTAAAAAAAAAAAAAAAAAAAATTGTCCTCAATTACCCGAATACATATTCAAACTTGGCTGTTCTCGTGGGTCATCTGAATTCTCAAGAAGAAAAAAAAAAAAAAAAAAAAAAAAAAAAAACTTCTTCGAATCATTGTATGTATCCAATCGCTTGATGCTACTACTCTCTACCGTTTTTTGGGGACACGTGTTCGCAAACAGTTCGAAACCGGTCGGAACCTATAATTAGTCGCGAGAGGGATTCGTGGTCGATGTCCAGCCAGATCTCGTGTCTTCGTTGACACGCTCTGACCCCACGATAATGTCACCGGTTAGGCTTCTCTCGGCGAACCAGGTATGCGACTGTGCGCACTCTCTAAACTTAGACGACGACTTAGAAACACACAAACATACACAAACGCACACAAAGAGAGAAAGAGAGAGAGAGCAAGCCGTAGCGGCCGAGATGCCAGCGTCTCGTTCCGCAAGAGACGATGCCACGAACGCTCGGCGTATCGTGCTAAATTCTTGATATCTCGAGCGACAGCAACCCGACGAAGAAAGCGGATCCGCCGCTGGTTCGCGTTGCGAAAAGCGACGACAACAACAAACCGCTTCGAGACCCCGGGTTTGGATCGCGTTCCGCGGATATTCTAGCCATTTTCCACCGTCTATTTTCGGGGGAAACCGAATGGAAGTCGAGGAACCGTCGCCCCACCGCTCAACGCCGCGCGGTTCGCGGCCGTCTCGAGCGTAACTTGCTCGTTGAGTAGCTCGTTCGAGCGTGTTTGAAGTGAGCGCTCTGGAGGATAATAAGCGTGCAATTGCGCGGATATGTTGCCGCTGTCTTACGGGTCTTTGAAGATTCCCCCGGCTTCCGGTTGTTGCGCTCGTTTCCACCACTTCTACGGGAGAGTTTCGAGCGTTCAGGAATTTAGGATAATCGTCCGCGATAAAACGTAGACTTCGTAGATCTCGAAGACTTCAGATTTCTTTCGCGGTCTTTCAGGGATCGAGAGCTGTGAGAAGCTGTTGGGACTCCAGCTTTTTTTTTTAGGAATTTAGGATGATTCTCGAATCTACAATTCTGCCGAATTTTTTGAAGATTTCTTTGGTTTCTGGCTAGTAATTTATTTAGTAGTTACTTTATCAGTATTTCATACAGTCAAGAGTTGTCGAGTCTTTGGAGATTCCACGATTTTGTTTGTTCAATTTATTTTTCGACATTCGTCGAGTATTTTCAAGAATTCCGGATAGTCGTCAGAAATTTAGAAATGCCGAGGGAGATATCTGATTTTTGGTTGAAAGTAATTTATTTAATCATTTATTAATTTATTTGTCAGGGATCGAGAGTCGTGAACCTCGAAGATTCCAAGATTCTGATTCAACTTGATTCGAGAATATTTAGTGAATTTGTCGTCAAACGGTTTCAAACATAATCCTACGTATCGATCGATTTCAACGTTACAAAACTCACTCACCAGCATGTCTACAACAAAAACAGATCTCCCAATTTGTGATTTGTGCAAAGTTCAACTGACTTGTTGAACATATAACGCAGAAAATAGTCTGACTGTAAGATTTCGAGTTACGAGTGCGTGAAATTGGCGAACTCTTGTCTCTGAAGATTCCTGGTTCTCGATTGTGTAATTTCTTTTTCGCGGTTTCGAGCAGTCAACCACACGGCCTCGAATCGTAAGCGTGAAATTGGTAAAATCTTCAGTTTTCGAAGATCGCAGACCTCAACTTGTTTCTGGATATTCGACAAAACCAGGCCGTCGTCAATTTTCGTCAAATTCAAACAACTAAGAAAGTCGGAATTCGAAGATTTAAATTTTTCACCGCGCTGAACTCGAGAACTGCAATGTTCTCTCCCGAATATAAAATCTCTTCAAAAGTTAGAAAAGTTTCAACTTCAACTCCACTGAGATTCATTGTGTTCATGATCGCCGAAATTTCAACTCGCTTGTCGATATCATATCCGAATGTCAAAAACCCATCTCAATTTGAAGACAGTCCCCGAAAGAAGCTTTCAATTTTGGGAATGCAAACTAAACGAGCAACACAAAAGCTGAATATTCCGCCAAGAAATCTCTGGTTAATCTCTTTATCGCAACCTACCGCTGATATCAGCAGCAGTTACCAAAGCTGAAACTTTCTCCATTAAATTTCACGGCATTATTAAATATTTCATGATAACGGGGCGCGCACGATGTTTATCACGATCGATGGCTCCGCATCAAAATACGTTTACCAAACTCCACTTGTCCCGTGTAAATAAATTACACCGGCCTCCCCACCCTCCCCCAACTCCAAAAGGAATTTATCGAATTTACCCTGTTTACCCATTTTCAAACAAATTCTACTTCAGTCTCGTGAAACACTGAAAATCGAAACTTAACTTCACGTTTCTACCAATTCGAAAATATTATTATCGAAATATAATTCAATCGCTGGCAAATTTCAAACGTTTCAAAGTATTAATTCAAACGCGATTGGATTTAAAAATCGGACTTTCGTTCGCGTTTCGACTAAATTACAATATCCAAGATACATTGAAAAATACAATATCAAACTTGGTCGCCTGCAAACACTTGCAAACACTGAGCGCAACTTCATTACACGTATCTGTAATTTTATTAATTTCAACCTAACACTGGAAGCTCTAATTTTCGAGCGTGTGCTCGTGTTTTAGGAAATCGAAATATCCAATACTTGAATAACGTATGAACGACGTATACCAAAAAAATACATGACATCAGATTCAGTCAAACGGTTTCAAACACAACCCTATGTATCGATCAATCTCAATGTTACAAAACTCACTCACGTCTAAAAAGATCTCTCAATTTGTGATTTGTTCAAAGTTCAACTGACTTGAACATGTAATGCAGAAAATACATCAACTCTCTCATAAGTCTCTCCCTGAACAACAATCTAAAGGATAAACTAAAACAGTCTAACCCATATAATAAATTGTAAGACTTGCGATTAATCTGCGAACGGTTGACGCGACTTTAAACGATAAATTAAAAAGGAAAAAAAGAAAAATCTCAACGCAGTATTTAGACTTATCGTAGGAAATGGGAGATTTTCGATTTCGTAAATGAATAAATCGTTAAAAAGATATTTTTCAAACGCCATCGTCTCTTTTCCCTTCGCGACGTAATTGCGCCGATGTCGCAGTTAATTAAAAGGTTTAACGCACTTCACGCCGCGAAACTAATTACGCGCAAACCGGTGCAAACCGGCTAATACCGCGCGGGCGAATTATCTGTCTGAAAACGAAAAAATTAAACGACGTTCGAGCGAATCAATGGGAACTTAATTGTCCCGTTGCAACGCCGAACTCCCCTCTCGGCGCTTTGATTTTTTTATTCTTCCTCTCGGCTTGGGAAATAAATTTCGAATCGGCGAGAAATCCGATTTGCTCTCGCGGATCGTCACGAAGAAATTCAACATTCAACCGGCGGCGGGGTTACGCGTTTTCGTGTTTTCACGAATAATGGAAACGAGCGAAGAAATGGAAGATAAACAGGGTTTTCAGGCTCGTCCTTTAAAAACGTCGCGACAAGTGCGCTGAATATTTTACACGTCGATGTGTTTCTGAAAAAATATCACACCGGCCAGACATGCAGCTATTGTACGAAAAAAAAACTTGAATTCTAAGGAAATTACGTTGAAATCTCTAATTCCCATACGTTTCAAACAAACGCAACTAATACGAAATCATCCTGGTACAAGTGTCTAGTATAAAAATATCCTACACGTAGTGGTCGTTATAATTTATATTTCATTGACGATATAAATAATTATAATTTAAATGTGTAATTTCACAATTAAAGCGAACGTGCCTCTGTCAACATTAACAGAATTCAATATTAATTTTGACGAAAGGAAACTCTGAAGTCTGTTACATTGACGGACCTTGACGGAAGAGAACTGCTATTGGTAGTTCCGATACGTTTAATATTCCTTGATTTATAAAATTTTACAGCTTATAAAAAAAACTAAATCAAATTCATTGTATCAATCGATTTCTCTTGCCATTTTTGTCGGACAATGTTTTCATCATTTCAGTTTAAACTCGCGAAATGTCCACAAGACATTGGATCGGTTTTATCACTGATGTTCAATTGAACAGCAAGAGCGTACATTTATACAAATGTTAGTAGTACGCGACTGGAAGAAAAATTGAAACTAACAGTAACTCCATGTGAAAAGAAAAACAAAGAGAGAGAGAAAGTTACATTCCGTGACCACATTCCCGGTAATACGCGAACGGCAACAAAACTGAAACGAATCGTCGAAACACGGCGAACCGCGTGAAAAACCGCCATTAGTGCTTGTTATTGGAGCAGGTCTGAGAAAGCGTCGTGTACAGTTAATTGCCCACTTTGTATCTGGTTCTTTGTACCGTTTCTGGAACCATCCCGAAAAGCCTCAAAGGACTCCTCGCGTCCGCGTATAACTCATTTCCGACGAGTTTGAACCACCAACCGGGCGCGCGCGTTGCAACTAAATCACGTTGTGACGCATGAGCTCCAGATTTTATGATTGTTTGCGGACTGTCACGAATATGGTTTACTACTGTCTGTAGTTTAAGCTGGTCCACTCGCGAAAATTCAAAAATAGATCGGCCCGGCTATGAAAACTTTCAATGTTGCCTACGCGCCATCGTAGTAACGTAATTGCGCGTAAATACCATGCAACATTATGATAGTAATAACATATACGCTACGTAAAGGATACAGAGTGTTTTTTTTGAAACTTTTACACGCATTCTATGCGTTTTTCTATGTTTGACACACGTTTAGGTGTGTGAATGTGTAAAATCCGATGGTAAAGGAAATATTTTGAATGTAACTTCACGCCTCCAGTA